ATCATCTGGGTGGCGATTGGCTCTAGGAGCCTGTTTCACTTTGGCGCAGGCCATTGAGTTGGATGTCAGGGTGGCGCTGGGTGTTACCTGGGGTTCCGGTGCTATTTTTAGCTGTTCCGGGTGGTGGGGTTGAGACGCTACCCTTCTAAGGGTAGCGCAACAGGGTTCTGAGGTTATTCAGTGAAAACGATGCTCTGAGCTTAATCAAGAGTTGTAATACTGTGTTTTGAGTTGTCATCTCTTCACTGATTTCTGGCTGTGATCACTCGGTTCAACAGACAATCATGTTCATAACAATTGGTATCGGAGCAGATCGGACCTAGACAGTGGCAAGATGATGGACTGAGGCAACCATCACTACCTGAGAGCTTCTAACGTCAGGTTTCATGGAGAAATCGCATCTTCAGGATTGCGCTCAGTAGGGTGTTGGTGAAGAGTGTGTGGCGGTTGGTATGACACAGAGATTGGTGGCGATTCAGTGCTCAGTGCCTGGGAGGCACTGAGGGGCTATTTTTAGCCCAGGCGTTGACTCTGTTGGTGGCGAGATACCTGGGGGTATGTCGAGTTTCAGATTCTGGGCAAGATACAGTGAATCTGATTAGTGGAGGTTAATCGCCATAAGAAGAACTACAGTATCACCTAGTTTCGGGAGATTTGGAACGTAGGAGGAACAGGAACAGTAAACTGAAGAAACTGGCGAGATGGCAGCCATAGCCAGTGCAACTTCTTCCTCCAGTGTTTTGTCCTGAAGTAAGTGTGTTCCTTACTCAAGTCTTTGAAGCGAGTCTGATAGTTATGATTAGACTGGGAAAACCGGAATTGTATGCCTGTGGGCAGTGAAACTTGAAAATCGTACTGCCTGACAGCCATATCTATTTCTCCTACCTATCTACTTTGACTTCTACTGACTCTGTTTGACCTTCTCTGTCTCAAATTGCATCTCCGACTGTGTTACAGTATTGCGAATCATTACACACTGTGAATTGAGTAGTTTAGGGTTTGTATGTCAGTGATAATGGAATTCTGAGTATTGCGCTGCCATAGCCAGTGCTTGGGGCAGCTAGGGTTTGTCATATCTTAGGTTCTGTCCGTCATAATTTCAGTCTGTCAGTCACCCTGAAATCGCAATTCAATATTGTGTCAGTGTCTGAAAGCGCTCTGCTGGATTTGATGTTTTGAGTCAGGTACAGTGAAATCTACCCAGATCCAGCGGTTGAAGAAGGAGATGGAGGAAGCTCGGGACGCTAGTAGAAATGAAGAGAGGAGAAGACAGCTACGCAAGGATGTGGAGAAGGTTGTCACGAGTGGTACCTCCAGTCAATACAATAAGGATACTGTTGAATTGTTGCTCTTAACAGACACCATCAACAGGTCCTACTTTTCTAACTAGGACCAGAGGATACTCGCCCTCGAGACCCAAGGTTCTGCCATAGACCGCAAGGTTCACAAGCTGGCAGTAAGCCTTGAGTCCCTAACGACGAGTGTGAACAGCATTCTGTAGCATCTACAACTACCTGTCCCTTCTCCCAAACCTCCTCAACCTTCCCCAGCGCCCTCTACACCATCTCACAGTCGACCATCTTCACCTGCTGGTTCCCATGTGTCCACTACCCCTGCCGCCTCTGGCACATCTGATCAGCGGCAGCCCAAGCTGACGCCACCTCCTATGTATTTTGGGGAAGACCCCAAGGTGGACGTTTCAGACTGGGTTACTGCTATGCAGGCATACCTGGGCAGCTTTGTATGTCCAGAGGTGACAAAGGTAGGGACTAGCCTGGGTCGCTTGGAGAGGACTGCACTGAAATGGTGCACATCCTCTGCAGCGAAACAGAATTTGCCCATGGACAAATGGGCACAGCAGCTGAAAGTGGAGGGGTTGCTGCAGGCCCTGCGAGACCGGTTTGCAGACAGGGAACAGGCCCGAAAAGCAGCAGATAAGATAATGTTGTTGGGCTCTCGCAGATTTGAGGGTTCCCTGTCCAAGCTCTACAACATGTTTGAGAGCTTAACAGCTACTCCCGGTCTGGAGATGAGTGAGTCCGACCAGCTCACTCACTTCCTGCGCGCAGCGCCTCCAGGCTACTCCATTGCTTTGTATTCTCAGGGCCACAAGGACTGGAGGTCCTTTGGCAAAGCGGCCCTGGACCTGGAGTCCCGGCTCAAGGTCCAGGAACCTTCTGAAGGAAGGAGGAGACCCTCTTCCAGGGGACAGCACAGGAAGAAGGGTGCTCTGTTGGCTGCTGACACCGGTTCTGATTCTGATGCATCTCAGCGTGGCAGTCCTCCATCTGAGACTGCATCCGCATCAACAATTGAGCCAACCGTTCTTGCCCTGGCTGAGAACCTTGCTGCAATTTTCAAGGGAAAGACTGGGAACAGCAGCAGCAGCAAGGGTTCAGCCAGTCAGAAGGCGAAAGGGAAGGGACGTGCCACTTCCCCTCAGGCCCAGAGAGCTAACTTACCACGAGACGTCCATTGGCCAGTTAACGTCATGGATCCTTCCACCCTTCCCTGGAAAGCGCTCAGGATCCAGGAAGGGCAATGGTAGAAAAGGAAGGAACGTGAGGTTTGTTTTCGGTGCGAGGGGGACCACTTCCTAAAAGATTCTCCGTATGCCTCGCAAACCTGGTTCTAGTTCAAAAAATTTGACCAGCAGAGGGAAGTGGAGTTAGCAGCTCCCTCCACTTATGTTGAATTAGATTCTGATGGATCTGATTCTGCATCTACCCTCACTGACTCTGTTGGAGTTGCTGAGTCAGGATCCTTCACTTACGTGGACCCTGACCTGGATGAGACGTGGCAGGAAGATGATAGTCAGACTTTCGCTGATCTTTTCCTGTCTTTGCAGGAGAAGAAGAAGCATAAATCAGACCTCATCTTGTTGCGACCCTCTATCCTGGGAGCCAGGATCAAAGGCCTTTTAGACTGTGGGGCTACGTGGAACTTCATCTCTCCCAAAGCTGTCAGCAAGTTGCATCTGGATGGGAGACTGGTGAAGTTGCAGCAGCTGCTGGAAGTCCGTATCGGGGACTCTTACACAGTCCGGATTACCTCTGCTGTCAAAAACCTACCGGTTATATTTGACAAGCAGGAGAAGGTCAGGCAACGCCTAAACTTCTATGTGTTTCCCAACGTGCCCTTTGATCTTGTGTTCTCCATGCAGTGGCTTGAGGCCGCTAACCCTAGGATCGACTGGCAGATCCCTAGGGTAGAGCTCCCTGACTGTAGAGGGGATTATCAGCCTTATGTGCTGGCTGATGAGTACCATCAGGTCAACAGTTGCTATTGTATGAGGGGACACGAGTTCTTTCAGCTCTCTCGCCAGACTGCCCACACACGTCTGTTTGTCGCATATGTGAAACAGACTGGTGTGGATGTTGCTCCTTGTCCCTCACCGATTCAGCAGGTTCTGGACTGGTATCCAGACCTGATGCAGGAGCCTACTGGACTTGTCCATAGGCAGACCCGACATAGGATTGAGCTCTTGCGAGGTGCGGTCCCTCCCAAGGGCCATATCTACAGGATGTCACCTGCTGAACTCGATGAGCTCAGGAGACAGCTTGAGACCCTGACCAGCAAGGGTTGGATCAGACCCAACACATCTGAATTTGGGGCTCCCGTTTTCTTTGTCCCAAAGGGGAATGGAGAATTCAGGATGTGTGTGGACTACAGGGGTCTCAACAAAATCACTAGGAAGTCTACAGAGCCCCTTCCTAGGATTGATGATCTGCTGGACATGGTGCAGGGCTGCACAATCTTTAGCAAGATCGATCTCAAATCTGGCTACCACCAGATTGAGATGGCTGAAGGCGATGTCCACAAGACTGCCTTCAAGACCAGATACGACACCTATGAGTATCTGGTTATGCCTTTCGGTCTTTGCAATGCCCTTGGCACATTCCAGACAGAAATGCATCGCATACTCAGGCCTTACCTAGACAGGTTTATAGTTGTATACCTAGATGATATCCTGGTATTCAGTCAATCTGTCGAGGAGCATGCGCAGCATTTGGCTCTAGTTCTCTAGGCACTACATGAGGCCCAGTATAAGATCAACAGGGAAAAGTCCTCCTTTGGAGCGACTTCTGTGACTTATCTGGGACATGTAATCTCTGCGGAAGAGCTGGCTCCTGAAGCAACAAAGGTTGCTACCATTCAGGACTGGCCACAGCCTACCACAGTACGTGATGTTCGGTCATTCCTGGGTCTTGCATCTTACTACAGGAAGTTCGTCAAGAACTTCTCTGCTATTGCTGCACCCCTGACTGATCTTAAAAAGAGACACCCACTTTCTTTGGACATCAGACTGTCAACAGGCTTTCACACGCCTCAAGGAGGCCTTGATGCGTGCACCTGTTCTAAAGTTACCTGACCCTACCTTGCCCTTCGTACTAACTACTGATGCTAGCCAGTATGGGGTTGGGGCGGTACTTCAGCAGGATGGTGGGCATGGTCTGCAGCCAGTTGAGTACATGAGTAAGAAGATCAAAGTCAAGAAGCTGCAGGATTCCACATACGAGAAAGCCCTATATGCTCTAGTGTCAGCGCTAAAGCATTAGAAGCATTTCCTCATGGGCAGACACTTCCAGGTCTATTCAGATCACTCCACTTTACAGTGGATGAAGACCCAAGGGGAACTGAATGACAAGCTCGTGCGCTATATTCAGTTCATTGATCTCTTTGACTTTAAACTGAAGCACAAGAAGGGCTGCTACAATCATGTGGCAAACGCCCTTTCTAGTAGGCTTGATACTCCTTGCATGATCTCCTCCACTCATACCTTTGAGGAGAGTACCCGCCATACCATTATTGCCCAACTATTGCCACAAGACCCGACTTTTGGCCCGATCGTTAGGAATCTACAGACTGATCCTGCCTCTGGTCTCAGGTTTGCTGTACACTTGCAGCAGAGGAGAGGAACGTTTGTGCATCCCTCAGGACCGCCAGCTGAGAACACTCATGATGTCTAAGTGTCATGATGCTTGCGGCCACTTTGGGGCCTTAAAGTCGTTGGCAGCCCTGTCGCAGTGGTTCTTCTGGCAAGAGATGAGGAAAGATTTGTTGCACTATGTTGAGACCTGTGAGTTGTGCCAAAGGAACAAGGTCATTCGCCGACCTCCCCTTGGCCTGCTGCAGCCACTTCCCATCCCTGATGCACCAGCACAGTCATTGGCTATTGATTTCACTGACCTAAGGAGGACTACTCCTCGCGGTATGCGTCAGGTCATGGTGTGTGTGGACAGATTCTCCAAGTACGCAGAGTTTATTCCTTTGCCAGAGGAAGCCAGAGTCCCTGCCGTGCAGGCGGCCTTTGCTGACAGGTGGGTTACTCACCATGGACCACCCACCTCTATTGTCAGTGATAGAGATCTGTGATTCTGCAACAATGAATGGCAGTCCTACTGCAAGGACTACCTTCATTCCAGACTGGATATGACATCTGGTCGTCATCCTGAAGCCAATGTGTAGGCTGAAGTGATGAACCAGATTCTTTTCCAGTTGCTGCGTCCTGTGATCAGCCTTGATCAGCAGGATTGGGACCTCCGTCTAGGACGGGCACAGCTAGTGTACAACACATTTGTACACTCCTCCACAGGGTTCACCCCTTATCGATTGCACTGGGGTTATGAGCCACGGCAGCCTCTCGATGACATTGTTGATAAGGCTACCCCCAGACTGACTCCTGGGACTGCAGAGTTCACCAGACAGTATCAGAGGGATATCGAACGAGCCAGAGTCAACCTGCTCAAAGCCCAAAAAGCTATGATCCAGCAGGCTAACAAGCATCATCGACCATCCCCCATCCACGCTGGTGACTGGGTCTGGGTACTCAGTTCTGAGCTATCACGGGAGGAGGACATTTCGCCCAAGCTGTTGCCGCGTTATATGGGTCCATGGTAGGTCTTAAACACAGTGGGGGCTGACCCTTTCGGGCCATCTTATCACGTGGATGTCCCACTGCATCTACAAACCTACCCTGTCTTTCATGCATCGAAGTTGTTGCCGTTTGTTCCAACTGATGCGTTCCCAGACAGGCCTCCTCAATTTGGTCCCCCGATCCCTAGGAAGGGATATGAGGTGGAAAAAGTTGAGGATGAGTATGGTACAGGCCCGGATAAGGAGTACCTTGTGAAGTTTCTCTACCAGCCCCATACTGAGGATTGCTAGTTTACTCGCAAGGAGCTTCTGAAAACAACAAAGTTTGTTATCCTCATATATGAGGCTGCGAAGAAGGGAGAAC